CTATGATGAAAATTACAGGCCTCTCTCATCTGTTTAAGTGGGAGAACTTGCACAATTGGTGACTGACTACATATTTTTTTGCCCCACTGTAGTGGCTTGTACTGTATTTTTAAAATCTGTTTTAGTTTAATTGCTGCTTGGAGATCAGTTTTTCCTGATTTGGGAAAAATTGCTGTTCATGAAAAAACAAGGTTTTGTCTGTAGACAGTCCATGATTACCAAGTTTTAATGCCTAATTTTCTTTGATTACTCAGTATTAGTTTAAAATATTTTCTTCCTGTCTCTGTTTCCTTGTTTTTAATGATATGATTATTAGAAACTAATGAAGTTGAAGTAAGAAGCTTTTTTTAAGCATTAGCAAAAGCAATAGAGAGTGTAAGTGAAATATAAAATAGTGAAACAAAATTGCAATCAGATGCAAACAAAACAAGAAAGGAGTTTGTTTTTTTTAATGTTGGCAATTGAAAGTAATGACTAATGCTGATGCATCTAAGGCGGAATAAGAGCCTTAAAATGCCACTGAGTTTAGGATAAAGACTATATAAGTTCTGACAATTATAAAAGTCTCAATGAAGTAAAGTCAGTAGTAAAATTACTGCAACATAGATAGCTGTAGTGCAGTAGCACATAATGCTGAGTTTGTTATAAGCATGGTTAGCTGAAGGAGCCAGATTTTGTTTTGCTGTTATGCAAATTTCAGGTAGTCCTCCCTTAACAACCCTATCTGAGACTGGCAACTCCACTGCTAAGTGGTTGCTAAGTGAGAAATCACATGACCATGGCTGTGCTTTCCAGCTGCAAAGAGACAAGGCCAATCAATTTCACACCATTGGCCTTTGTTTGACTCCTAACCTCTCCCCCGCCCTTTGGAATGCTGGAGTGCCTGCTTACTGTCTTTTACACATTGAAAGCAATGCGATCATTCTGCAGCCCAGGGCTGTGAGCCACAAGGCATGTTACGCAAACAGCTTACAGTACTCTCTTGAAATCTCTTCCCCTCCAACCTCTTCGCTCTGCAAGCAGAGTGGGGAGAAAAAAAGCAAACAGTTTCTGTAGGCAATCTCTCCTTTGCCTGACCCTTTCATACTGCCTGCGGGATCGCATTGCTCTCGATGTGTAGAAGCTTACTCTCTTGAAATCTCTTTCTCTCCATCACTCTGCGAGGCGGAGGCGGGGAGAAAAAAAGCAAGCGATTTCAATAGGCAATCTCTCCATGTGAGCTTTATTGTTGAGGGTATACTAGACCTTGAGCGTCTGTATTCCTAGCCCAGCACTTTAACTATTCTAACACACTGGCTCTCTTGATTTATTGTTTTTAACAGCAGTATAATATATTTAAAAATTATTGTTTACAGATTAATCAGGTATTTCTGAAAACTGTAATGGAACAAAATGTAGAGCTGGAACAGCTGCGCAAGCAACAAAGGTACAGACCTCTAAATCTTAAATTGCTTTAAAAAAAAAAAAACAATAGGACTTAGCACACTTTTTCTTGCAAAGGAGTAACTGGCAGTAGCTAGTTCAGTAAAATGAGGCAAAATTTCCCAGCCATGAGAAATCATAGAAATATCTGGAGAATACCTCAGGTACTTTGCAGTCATGATTGTTAACGAGAAAGTCTCATCCAATAAGAGACAAGATTTTGAAGAAGTGTGACATCTTGATAAAAATCGGGTTGTAGAATATTCTGTATAATTCAAGTCATTGTTTTGAATTTAACAATTCTCAACTCTTTTTGCAGTTGAAGGCTGCATTTTACACAACACACACATGCACACACACACATTAAACTATTAAAAATATTTTTAGTCACTAAGGGAGCATTTTGCATTTTGGGGAAACTTTTTTTTTAAAATAAAACTGCTACCATAAAGTACATATGTAACCATGGGAATTCTAAAAACTGCAAAAAAAGAAATATGTATGCTATGATCAATTGTGTATACCACACCTATGTGTAGGTAGACAGATAATCAAGGGGCATGCAAAAGCAAATTTTGCCTCTTCCTAACACCTTCAACCACTGTCAAAATTGTTTTGTTTGTAATGTATCTATGGATGTATGAAACACGCAGAATTGTGTGTATATTATATGTATTGTATCTGTATGGGTGCAGTCATTCACTCTGTGTTTCACAGGCAATGCAAATCAATCAGGGTAAACACGTGTTTATCCAGTTTACAAATTCAATGTAAATATATACCTACTTTTCTTTAAAAAAAATATACATATTTTGCTTAACTATCTTAATTTTAGTCAAAATGTCTTTCAGAAGTAAAAAGTTCTTTGTGCGTAGAATGGATTGGAGAAAATTAACTTTTTATATAGTTTTGAGGAAATTTAAAAGCATTGTTAAAATAGAGAAAAGTTATATTTCCAGTCATGTTGTATTACAATTGGCCTTCAATCTATTCTGAAATTAAATTTAAAGTTTAAAATGTATATATACATTTTTCATATATCATTCAGAAATAAAATTCTAGCATAAATAATTGATAACCAGAACCTTAAAGGTTTGTCTTTTGGTTGGTCAATGGGAGTGAATAAATATTATATATAGGGTAATGCTCCTACTTTTGCAATGAGGGTTTGCAAAAATATTTTATGGCTTATTACATATCAACAGGTAGAAGTTTATAGCTATATATGAAGATGTAACATTGTGAGCAAATGCTAAAATCTGTTAGGACTTCAGTTGGTAATGAAGAAACCTTTCCTCTGTTGAAGTACTGATGTTACTTCATATATATCCGGGTTCCTCAACCTCAGCAACTTTAAGATGAGCGGACTTCAACTCCCAGAATTCCCCAGCCAGCATGTTGAATTCTGGAAGTTGAAGTCCACCCATCTTAAAGTTACTGAGGTTGAGGAACCCTGATATATATAGACTAGAAATACCAATACTTCCTGTTCACCACACTGACGAGCAGACCTTTTGAGAAATGAATTGCTATATGGGAGTGCTGTAAAAAAATCTTGACAGAGATATAATAAAATAGACTAAGAGGTGACTTTTATTGGTGCAATAATTTGTTTGAGCAAGAGCATAATTACCTCTTAATGGCAGTTTTTTCTTGAGCTTGAACATAGAGTTGTAATGTAATGTAAAAGCATAGTCTTTTTTGTAGTAGTACATTTCTTATTTAGAATGATTTGTGTTTTTAACATGCAGACAATCCAAATTGGACTTGAGAACAACTGTTGCAAAAGCTGATGAAATGATAAGACTCATTGAGGATCTTCGCAACCAATTAAACAGAAAGGTAGAACACATCATTTCTCAGCTTTCGAAATGGAAGTTTATGTTGCTGGTCCTCTGTTTCCTTGTATTCATACAAAGATGTTCTAAAAATCTCTGGCTTCTCTGGTATTTAGGAAGAAGAGGTCCTAGCTGCTCAGGAAAAAGAGGAGGTATCAGATAAACGCTTGCAAGAATTGCAATCAAGCATAAAACAGCTGGAGACAAGGTAGATTATTAAATAATAGCTTAAACTTTAACCCTATAATCCTATACATGTTTACCTTTGATTTTTTTTGTTGTATGGTCAGACATTTAATTTCAGGACATATATTAACCCAATTGCTATAATTAATTTCAACCAATGAATGTTAATTGGCTACCATTTTGGTGGTCCTCAAAAATAACTATTAAGCTCAATATTGGCTTGCTGTCAAAAATGTCAGCAAAACTGGTTAGAGTTTGAGGGCTATCTTGGCTTTTATTTTATTTTAAGATCAATGGCAAAATGTACTACTTATATACAGACTTGGATTCAGCCAATCAAAAATATTTTAAGATTAATGACAAAATGTACTACTTATATACAGACTTGGATTCAGCCAATCAAAAATATTTTAAGGTTTAGCCTAGATTTCAGTTCTTCTTGAAAAAAGTAACTTCAAAATTTGAGAAATGCTTTACTAAGTGATAAATAGTACAAGAATTATAAGGAGAATAAAATTCCATCATCAGATCTACATTAAAATAAAGGTTATTACTAGTTTGTCAAGAAGTGTTCCTATTTCTGGACACCTGAAATTTCGCCATTATGATAACAGTGAAAACTGCTTGAAAGATGCTACAAAAAGATGCTGCCCCAAGATAATTTGATTTCATCATATTAGAGAAAGGAATTAATCTTATCTTGTCAGGTCTTGAAAGATACAAGGACAGCTATTTTACTTGCAGTCTTACCTAAACTTAACCTTAATCTAAACTTAACAGTTAATTGGTCCCTGTTCTAATATGCAGACTTTGTGTAGCTACACAAGATTCTAAACAGCTAAGATCAGAAAGAACAAACCTTGAAAAAAAAATTCAGGAGCTGCAAGCAAAGTGTGTGAATATAGAAGAAGAGAAGTATGATGCTGTAGCAAAGGTCCGAGACAGCATGCAACTCATAGAAGAAGCTAATCTTCAGAAGAGTCAGGTGATTAATTAATTGTACATGTTTGCAGGATAACAGTGCTTTGGACTTAATTAAGAAGTTAATCTATTTTCTGTTTATTAAAAATAGCTATATCTTTAAAGTTATGGCTTACTTATCTTCTGTAGGAAGTTAAGTCTTTACTATAATAAGACTATTCTTTCCAATTCTAGGCAATGCTATCAGAGAAACAAAAAGAAGAGGAAATTGAAAATATGAAGCAAGCAGTTTCTCAGCTGCTTCAAGATGCTGCTTCAAGAACAAGGAAGGAAGTAAGCAGTCATGCTGAAAACGTCTTCATATTTTCTTACACATTTTGTTCTTGTAAATTACATTAATTATACACTATTACTTTGAAAGCTAAATATTTGTATACAATTGAAAGTTATCTCAGTTGAAATATGAAGCTTTTTTGTCTGTACAATAGACAATTCAAATTACTTTGTGAATGGACCTTTGTTATTGGGAGGAGAAATCATTTCCCCCAATAAACTATGTAGGTTACAATCCATGTAACTCAGCTGGCGTAACCAGAATTTTTAGGCACATTCTCCTTCAAATGCCCAAAGAGACTTGGGGACTCACTTCAGGGTAGGAAATGAGGTTGCTAAAAAACCCCACTCAGTGCAAATCACTTTGCCTGATTTTCAGGGATGCCTGTAAACCTCCATCAGGTTCTTCAAATGCCATGAGTAGCATGTTCAAAGGGCTGGAGGAGCTGCTTAGAAAAGGAGGAGATGGAGGATGCTGCTTCTGCCCTTCCAGTTATGCACACCTATATCTGGAGGTTAACATTGCTTAGCTCTGCAAGTTATACAGAAAGCTCTCCTTATAATTAGGTTATTCCTTAGCGTTGCAGACTCTTGTAGTCCTAAAAATGTATTATATGATTAAGAAAGAAAACATCCATTGGACATTGAATAATAACACCTTTTTAAAAAAAAACAGGTAGAAAATGAGAGGAAACGATACAATATTCAAATTTCTCGATTAACAGAAGAACTTACTGCACTTCAGATGGTATGTTTTACATGTTGCTTAAGTTCTTATATAAGTTTACATTCTGGTTTTTTCCTCCTGTGTTGACCTTCACATAAGAAAAAGAATCATTTTAAAGTTCAGTGCCATGAGGCAACACCCAGTTTCAGTAGTTTAGTTTGTGTAGGAAAAAATCTTCCATGGCTAAACACTATTTCATTAAATGTAATTATAACAATGAATTAATACCTTTTCATGTGGGATGCTGTTATTTGGAAGAGCGGATACAAAAGAGATAATGTACCTTATTTGTTCAACTTCTAGATGAAAGAAACACAATCTCAAACATTATCATTATTTTTAAAAATTGTACGTGTCACAAACGTTTTGTTCAAGTAGTATATATAATATATCTCTTTTCTTTTTTAAAAGGGAAATAGGGATGCATGATGGTTCCAGACTTTACTTTTAGAAGTAGATATTGGAGGTGAAGGGGTTGGGGGAGAGGTCTAAGTCATACTTTTTCTTAACATGTGGTTTGAAGGAAATTATTCTGAAAAATTACAAGTGCTATAAAATATCCCCATAAAACTATCTAATTTAATCCTATATTACGTCAGTACAGATCTTTCTTAATCTAGAAACAGGTTAAAGGAAGCTTACAGTGAATGGAATTTTGGTCAATCTCATAGGTCATAGACTAAGTCTATGTCAATGTCATAGGTCATAAACTAAGTACATATTAGTACATGAGGACAGGCTTGATTATTTATCCTGATTTTGTTTACTACATATACATACAGCTGTATATCACTTACTAATGTCTAAAAAAATACATATCCTGTTACTGCTTTATAGGAATGTGGAGAAAAGCAAAGCCAAATAGAGCGGGCTGTTAGAGAAAAGCGAGCAGTTGAAGAAGAACTAGAGAAGGTAAAAACCTCTTTTCTTTTCCGTCATGCCATTTTCATGCATTAATATGATAATGGACATGGTAATAGGTAAGTAATTTTTAGGGTGTAGAGAATATTAGTCTTTGTCACAGTGGCACTGTGTCTGTGGCACAGACTGGAAAGCATTCACATCACTTAGATACGAATAGAAATATGCTGTTGTGATAAGAGTGCTTGGTCACTGTATTAGCAACAGAAGAGGTTGACTTAAGGGCATGTAATGCTGTTTGGCATTTTCTTTTCACCCAAATAACTTGAGCTGGGGAGAAAAAGAAACTGCCTGAGCTAGCCCAGCTTGTGCTAGATCCTCTTCCCAGCTTCATCCAACTTTTTCCTTATTTTTGAGGAGGCTGCCAAATTCATAAAAGTTCTCTACAAGCTAAAATTGCTAAAGCTCACTTAAAATCAGTAAAAATGAATTAAGAAAGGAAGATCTGTGAAAAGGGCAGATCATCAGTTCTCATAATATAATAATTGTTAATTAAAGGCAATTATACTAATAATAAGATTAACACAATACAAACCGTCAGTGGAAAGCCTAGTTAAACAGGACAGGTAGTCCTCAGTTAATGACCACGACCACTCGTTCAGTGACCGTTCGAAGTTACGATGGCACTGAATGAGTGGTGGTTATGATCGGTCCTTGAAGTTCCAACTGTCTCAGCATCCCCGTTGTCATGTGATTGCAATCTGGGTGCTTGGCAACTGACTCGCACTTACAATGGTTGCAGTGTCCTGTGGTCACATAATTGCAATTTGCAACCTTCTCTGCTGGTTTCTTACAAGCAAAGTCAATGTGGAAACCGGCAGGGAAGGTTACAAGTTGCTCGGGTAAGTCTCCTCTACTCACGTAATCTCTCTGTGCCTCGCTGTGCTCACGCCACACCTCCCCTGCTACCTACGCACTTTCCTTGTGCCTTGCACTCACGCTGCGCCTCCCCCACCACCCATGCACCCTCGTGCACCCTCCCCAAGCCTTGCTGAGCTCGCACTGTGCCTCCCCACCACTTGCACACTCTCCCCACCTAGCACCAACCACCCCAAGCCCCACTGCACTCACACCACACCTCCCCTGCCACCCACACACATTCACTGTCTTGCTGTGCTCGTGCTGCAACTCCCCGCCACTCACGCACCCTCATGCAACTCCCCAACCCAGCAGCAGCCACCCCAAGCCCCACCACACTTGCACTACACCTCCTCCACCACCTGCTCACCTTCCCTGAGCTTCACGCCCACACCATGTTTCCCCCACCACTCACGCACCCTTGCATGCCCTCCGCCACCCGGTAGCAGGCACACCAAGCCCCTCCACACTTGCACCACACCTCCCTGACACCTGTGTACTCCCTCACTCCCTCTCCCACCTGGTAGCAGCCACTTACCTGCCTGAGAATCTGCTTGTGAGCTGCCTGGGAATTGCAACTTCTTGCTGGCTTCCCCACTGACTTTGGTTGTTGGAAGCTGTGAGGAAGTTGTGAAGAGGTGCTCGCTTAATGACTCACAATCCTTGCATAACAGTTGCAATGGGGACTACAGGGATTGCCATTGCTAAGCGATGAGGTCCCATGATGCCACGCTTTACAACGCATCCCTTAGCAGTGGAAATTGTCGCTGGTGTCATAACTCAAGGACTACCTGTATAATGTTTGTCTGATGGTTAAAAGCTAATATGGAAAGCTTTCTTCAGATGTGATAATCATAATGGAATGGCAGTCCCACTTTTTTAAGTTGTGCACAGTAACTGATTTGCCAAAGCAGGGATTTCACTGGAACAATGAAATAATATCTGTTTTAAATTCAACTATCAGATATACCGTGAAGGTAGAGGAAATGAAGCTGATTATAGAAAACTAGAAGAGCTCTATCAGAGGTGTCTGAATGCCGAACGTACAAAAGATGATCTTCAGCTTAGTTTGCAAACAGCACAAAACAAAATTAAGCAACTAGAACTGAAGTAAGTAATTACAATATGCTGCAAACAGATATTCACTTTCTTTCCATTTTTTCTTTGGAGTCTTTTGACCTGAGAGTTTTATACCCTTGTATTTGTATTTGTATTTGTACTGGCATTTTACTTTTTCCTTTTAAAATATGCACTGATATGTAATTATTACCATTTTCTGTACAATGGAAATATACATTTTGATTGTTACAGTTGGTTAAAGTTGTTTATAACCCATCTTTCAGGATAGAAGTCTTCTCAAAGTGGCTTAGAAGTAATATAATCAACCATAATAAAAATATGAATAAATCGTATTTATCGTAAGTGCTTTCCGGGAGGTGGGAGTCTGTTTGGGAGGCTTTGGAGATGGACTTTACCTGCCTGTTGCGATGCACTTTTTATTGTTTTTCATCTGCTTTCACAAGTAGTCCCTGAAGTGTCTTATAAGACATGT